CCTGCAGCATGGACGTGCCAGATCCAGACATGGCGTGCTGCTCCTCCTCCCGCGCCCTCCTCTGAGGTTCTCACAGTAGCCGGCCGGGCTTCTGCTGTCTGGGAGGTGGCACCAGCATGATCGTGCGCCGTCTGTCTGCTACACGGGACTGCAGGAGGCTCACCTGGGCCTGAGGCAGCCTCACCTGCCACCTCCTGCCCTTACCTGCCAGGTGCCCAGCCACGTGGTTACCACCACGGGGCTGCCAGGCCTTGGTGCTGGTGCCCCCTCAGAAGACACCACACCAGGTTTTCAGTTCTTGGTGTGCAGGGAGCAAAATCCCCTGGTGCCGGATGAGTGACTGACGCTTGCTTCCCAAGATGACTGGGCGGGCCCAGCTGGCTTCTTCCTGGGCCTCCTTTATCCAGCTCGCTTCCTGGCAGCTTCTGAGGTGCCTGCCACCAGGTGGTCCTCTTCAGCAGATCCGAGTCCCCTCCTGGCTGAGGTGAGGCGCCTACCCAGCCCTCTGCGCCTGGGTTCCCTGGGCTCTTCTGATGGTGTCCTTGGAGGAAAGGCAGCTCCTCCCCACCTCAGCGCCCTGCTCCTCCTGGGCGTGGGTGGCTGTGTCCGACTGACGGCACCGCTGCTCATCCTGAGGTCAGAGGTCTCTTTGTGCTGCCTACGTGTTTCGCTTTATCCTTTCCAAATCTGACTCCGTGACCTGCTTCTGTAAACCTGTGAGATTTCAAGTGCTGCAGTGCCTGGCCGACCGAGCACAGCGGCCTTCCTAGGACTTGCGGCATCCTCGCTCCCTGACCCAAGAGCCCTCCTGGTGGTCAGCCCGGGCTCTCGTCCCACTCCATTTCTGTGTTTGCAGCAACCGCCTGCCTTCCAGGGGCGCGGAAGCCTGGAGCTGCTCTCCAAGACATCTCTGCCTCCTTGCCCTTCGGTGCTCCTGTTCTGGACACTGCTGCCCACAGCTCCGCTGGACCCTCCTGGAGAAGGGACAGCGTCTTTATGGCGTTGAAATGCCCAATTCTCCAACAGTCCGTGTCCCTGTTTTCTTAGATTGTCTTCATTCTCAACACTTATCCCAGACATCTCTTGTCAGATTTATTTCTACATACTTGAAGCTTCTTCGTCCACATTAGACAGCATTTACAAATGACAGTATCTGGAAGCCTAACAGATCCATGGGTATTGGCCTTGGGGCCAGCGCCTTGCCAAGTGTCCTTAGCGCTTCCCAGGCTGCTGTGGGCTTCCCTCCGAACATCTACAGCACCTGCCAATGCCGACAGCCCCCCTGCTCTCCTTCCCCACCTCCAATCTCGCTGTCTGGGGACAATCAACCTGCTGGCTCGGTGCTATGGGTCTCCTACCTGACACCTCACAGGACGGCAAAGGAAGCTGGGTTGCTGCAGACCCTGTCGGCCGGGTGGACAAAGTCGCTGTTCCTAGCTTACTAAGGGTCCTCTTAATCCTGCATGGCTGTTGAATTTTACACATTATTTTCTGCATTTATTAAGAGAACTGTAAGGTCTGTTACTGTGGTGAGGTTCGCCGACTGCTTTCTCCAGCAGTGCAGCGGTCTCGCATTCCTGGACTCAACCCCAGCCCCTCGGTCATATCATCATTTAGCACAGCGACGTCGGAAGTGAGACCAAGCCATTTCTTTAGCACAGAGTGCCAACACGGTGATTAACCCTGAATGTCTGGCTGTGGGGGTGCTGTGGGGTGGCTTTGCTCACGGAGGGACGTGGCTCACGTGCTGACAGAGGGCTCTGTGCCCGCCACGGAATGTGTGCTGTGGCTTTGCCACTGCTGATTTAGTAGCACTGCTCTGGACAACCAAGGCCACTGCCACAAACAGTCCCGCCAGACTCTCAGGACAATGTCCACGGGGCACGCTGGCCTGTCCTTCCCCTTTTCTCCCCGTTCCCTCCGTCGGAAACGCCCTGGTCAGGCTGTGGTGGAAAGGTTATGCTGCCTCGTAAAGTAAGACGGGAGAGGAGCTTTGCTGTTCTGCAGGAGGTGGCGAGAGACACTCGCTGCCCCTTTCCGACACAGCGGGAAGCGTCTCCAGGGAAGGGCTGGGTCCAGTCTCTCCTGGACAAGACCAAGTGACAGTAAGAGCCCGTGGAGACAGGGCTGCCGGGATGTCCTAGCTCTTCTGCAGCTGCCGTGGAGTTTGCCTTCTCAGCCTTCCCAGCCGGGAGGTGTGACGGGGCACACTCAGCTCTGGCTGCCGGAGCCTGGAGCCATGCTCACTCTGCAGCCTGTGCCTGCTCTCCCTTTCAGACCAGCTGTACCATGGCTCTGTCAACTGTGCTCACCTTTTCAAAGAACCAACTTCGGTTCTATTAGGGCTTGGATCTAGAGGTCCCCCAGAGCCTCATGGGCTCGCTCGGAGGCAGGGACTTTGGGAGGTGGCTGGATCAGGGTGTGCGAGTGTGGATTAAGAGCTTGCAGTGGGATTATGCGTGTGCCTAAGGAAGTCCCAGCTTGCATGGAAAACAGAGGGAGCGAGGGAAGGCAGGCTGCCTGCTGCCTGCACCGTTTCCCCCCTGCCACGCCACCCTGCCTCGGAGCCAGCCGACTGTAGACTGAAACCTCTACAAACTGTGAGCTGAAATAAACCTTTCCTCCTTGAACGTGTGGGTCTTGGATATTTTGTCTCAGCGACAGAAAAGCAACTGAGACAGGTTCTCTTGGTTGCATTTACATTTTGTCCCATTTCATTAATTTCTAGTTGCATTTACATTTTTTCTCTAAGCACAACTTTGGAGGTACTCCATAATTTTTGATATGTAAATTTGTCATTCAATTAAAAATATCTTCAGGTGTCATTTTTATTTCTGGTTGGGTTTTTTTTTGCTTAAATTCTTTTATTGGTACATTTTAGGTAAACAATACATTTACATTTATCATTGGGTGCTTATACCTGTACATGATGTATCTTGGTTCTCAGTTTTTCCCCATTCCCTGTGCGCCCTTCACCCCCTCCACCCTTCCCTATTTACAAAGACTTTGTTTCCATTTTTTCCTTTTCTCATATTTTTTCTTTTCCCTTCTTTCCTTTCCCCTTCCCCTCCCACTTCCCCTACCCCTTTGGACCTTTTCTTCCTATTTTAAATGATCAATTATTCGTTTTAATCATTTTAATCCTTATTTACACTTTCAGTTTCTCACACTAGAGAAACTAGTCGGTATTTACACGTGTGTCCTATTTATTTCACTTAACACTATGGCCTCAATATGCATCCATTTAGCTATAAATGTCTCTAGTTTCTTGTTCTTTATGGCTGAGTAGTAATCCATTTTATAAAAAAACCCCAAAAACCACATCTTCTTTATCCAGTTTCCAGTCGATGGGCAGTTGGGCTGTTTCCAAGCTGTAGCTATTACAAACTGTGCCACTATAAACATGGGTGCACATACATTGCTGTGGTATGATTCTTTTAATTCTTTTGGGAAGGTACCCAGCAGGGGAATAGCTGGGTCAAAAGGGATCTCTAGTCCTAGTTCTTTGAGGAATCTCCATACTGATTTCCACAGTGGTTGCACCAGTCTGCACTCCCACCAGCAATGGAGAAGGGTTCCTTTCTCCCCACAGCCCCACCAGCATTTGTTATTGGTTGATTTCTTGATAGCATCCATTCTTTCTGGGGTGAAGTGGGATCTCAGTGTTGTTTTCACCTGCACCCTATGCATTAAAAGTGTATTACTGCAGGTCGGGGATTTAGCTCAGTGGTTCCGCTGCCTGCCTCGCAAGCACAAGGTTCTGACTTTTGATCCCTGGTACCAAAAAAAAAAAAAGTGTATTACTGGGTCAGGGATTTAGCTCAGTGGTGCCACCCCTGTCTGGCAAGCACAAGGTCCTGAGTTTGATTCCTGGTACCAAAAAGAAGTATATTACTTAATTTCTAAACACCCAGTGATCTTGTACTCTCTCGTCACTTTTTCCTTAATCCTGTTTGGTCAGAGGATTTAGGCTACACGATTCATCCTGTGCCACTGTGGAGATGGGCTCTGTGGGTTGGCTTGTGGCCAATCTCGATGCAACTCCAAAGAGCCCTTGAGAAGCACGTGTGGCACAGGCTATTCCACACCATGGACGAGGTCGGGGTGTCGACTGCCTTGTTCAAGTACCCTACATCCTCGCAGGTTTTATTCACTGTTTTTCCAAATGTTTGTCCCAGATACTGATGAAGTTTAACGTTGTACAGCATGGTGAGCCTTTCTCCAGGGCAATAAAAGGGCTTTACAGCAATCTGCCTCTCTCTGGACTGTTCCAAGTTAGACAGCAGTGTTTTCTACTATTTTACTGTTTTGGTTGTAGTCTTAATCAGTTTTACACAGCCCACTTCGACTGACTCCATTCCTCCTGTCTGATCACCCCTCTTGCCTGAAGGACTCCTGTGTGCATACTCCTGCTATGAAGCCCAGCTTCCCTTTCCAGAAACATCTTTAGCGAGTGACAGCTTAATTTTTATTTTTTCAAACTTCATTCAAGTCTTTATTTTTAGGAACTTTGAGATATCGTTTCTATACCAAAACCTTCACCATGTAAGGCAAATAATCTGATGGGTGGAGCAGGGTGGAGGCACAGCGGTGCTGGCAGCTACTCTGAGCCCCCCAGAAAAGCATCAGGCACCAGGTGCCATCACTAAAGATAATTTCACTGGCATTTTGCAAACCTCTCCAGCGTGACTGCCGAACGGTGTGGGTAGCAGTAGGCTGGCTGCCAACGGCCACGTGTACTTCAAACCACCTCTCGCCTTGCTGGGAGGAGCCACCTTCCCTGGCTTCCGAATGCTGCGCTGCCCAGGCCCCTCTTGGCGGGACGCCAGGCCGTGCTTCCTGGAGCTGGCCAGACTCAGCTTTGCCGTCGAGGGCTCCAATGTCCCCAGGGCGCCCACGCCTCCTGCCATGAGGGCAGAGGCCCAAGAAGTGTCCCCCGAGCAGCCCACCCCAGGGGCAAGGACCCCGGTGCAATCTCTCGAGGCGAAGTAGCATGGGGCTGCTGTGCTCATAAATACACTTTATTTCATTAGAAATGCATAATTACAGTGTGTGGAGGCATCCCCCCTAGAAAAGTAGGTAAGCAATATCCCCATCAAAATCATTAGTTTCTTTCGCAAACACCTGTTTCATGACCTGAACAGAGCACAACAGCAAAAGGCTTCTGCTTCTCCAGTTTTTTTTTCCAATTTTCTTTTTTGTTATAAACACCATAGCAAATTAAAAAAAAGCTGTTTAAACAAAATATTGTAGTTCCTGATTTTCCAAGTGACGAATGTGCTCCGTGCTATGACTCCTCTGCAGATGCTGGCAGCATGGCTCAAGCCGAGGGCCTCCCTTTGGGGGACGGCCAGGAGGGACACTGTCCCCAGTGGCAGAGGAGGCTTTCAGCCGCACGCAGCAGAAGTTGCGCAGTCACCGCCAGCCCAAGCTGCGCGAGCAGGGCGCAAGGGGACCAGGTCGGAGCTGGGCCCGCTGGTGTGTCGCAGTCCCGGTGGTGGTGGCCGCCCCGCCTCACTGGATCTGGATGGCCCCGTGCTCCAGCTGCATCTCAGGCTGCAGGGCGGGCTGCAGGCTCTCAGTCGTCTGGAAGGGGGAAACGGGGGTCTTTCTGGATAAACCCTACTTGCGCCTGCTCTGAGGCAGCCCAGCGGGACACGTGCACAGGTGAGCCCCGAGAGCACTGGGGTCAGGCGGCAACACCTCCGCCATGGTGTCAGCGCAGCACTCACGGCCCTGGCCGGCCGGCCGCCCTCTGCCCACCTACACCCTGCCACTCAGCAGGGTCGCTGTGGCCACTGCTGCAGACTCCCCCTCACCCAGGGCGTGCAGGGGAGCAAGTGGGAGCGGCTGAGCCCTGCTCAGCCCCACCCCGACCCAGGCTGTTGGTGTCAAGCTGCCACCCTGTAACTGCCCCGGTATCACAGAGAAGCATTTCAGGGCCAGCTGCCTGCCCCTGCAGACGTGAGTGTGGCCAGCGACTTGCAGATGTGAGAAGGACAGGAAGTACGTGTCCAGTGAAGGAAGAGGAACAGCCTTAGGGTAAGTCACTGACCCTGCTCCCGGGAGTCAGCCATGCCGGGGTTCCTGTGTGCGCCCGGGGCGCAGCTACAGAGGCAGGCACGGTATCCACACAACAAGAGGCAGGAGAAGCCAATGAGCCACCAAACCGGAAGTCCCTGGGGGCCGTCGCCTGGCAGCCCTCACAACTCTCTAAGCTGCGCTTTTCTCTTCACAAAGGACACAGCACACCACTTTCTTACACGGAGGGAGGGACTGCGAGGGGAGGAGAAAGCGCCTGGGGCCAGCGTCAGCTACAAGGTCTGCAAAAGCCCTGCATGTGGCTGGGCAGGAATCCAGAGAGCAATAAGCCTGTGTCAGAGGGCAGGTGCCTCTGCAGTGAGGGAGCATCCCCGGCATCTGGGAGGGGAAGTGAGCTCCGGGGGACTGGCTGCCCGAGATGCCCCACAGTGGCCACTGGCTGCCCGCCTGACCAGCCCCCGGGGACAGGCCAAGGGCAGGTCCACACCACACTGGCTCAGCCGCCGGAGGCACAGGCTCACCCCGCCCCACTGTGCTACTCTCACCGCTTTCGTCCCCCCTCGGTGCATCTCCAGTGGGTCAGCCACCCCGGAAGCCGACAACCTGCTGCGTCCGCGGCCATGCCCAGGTCCCCGCCTTCTCATGTCAGGGGCCGTGGGCCTCGCCGCGAGTGAGGTCCAGCACTGAGCCACCATAGCCTGGGCTCTCAGGCCCCTGGACTGCCCGTTCTGGCACCTGGCCACCATGGGGAACCCCAGGCCACTTCCTCAGCAAGCGTCCCAAGGAGGACTTGCTCTTCCTGGGGCTCAGGAGCACGTGCCCTGTGGAGCCTCAGCGGCAAGCCTGCGGCTTCCGTCCTATGCTCACGGCCGACGGCAGTGAGATGCAGGCACTCAGCACAGGCCAGAGAGGCCAGGAGCAGACACAGGTGGCAGCCAGAATGTGCCAGAGGGCAGGGAGAGCTGTAGGCAGAGCCTGGCATGCTCCTGAAGGAGGGGAGGAAACCTGTGCAGGTGGGCTCCATCCAAGGCCAACACACAGGAAGCTGCCGTGCTCCTCCAAGGCCAGAGCGGAGCCCCAGCCTGCCAGCGGGGCTTCCCTACGTGGCTCAAGACACAGGTGATGGCTCGGCAGCCCCGTTTCCTCTCAGTGACATGCCTGGCCCTCCCTGGAGGGACCCAGCAGCCACTCCTGCAGAAACAGGAAGCGCCCTAACTAGAATCGGTCATTCCAAACCCACAGCAGCTGTCAGAGCTTGACAGTGTGTCTGGGGGAGCAGCACCCGCCTGGTGTCGCAGAACTAAGAAGGGGCACGGTACCCTCCGCCCTGAGCAGTGCGGTGGGAAGGCCACACCTAAGGCAGCCAGGCCAGCAGTCCTCAGGAAGCCAGTGCTGTGCGCTCCGGGTCAGCCGTGCCGAGCAGGCTCCTGAGACACGGGAAAGGAAGGGTTTGCTCCCGTAGGCCGCCACCCGCTGGCTGGGGCTGGCCCAGGTGGTGTGACCATCACCACTGGAGCACGTCCCTGTCCCTAGCCCGAGACTGCACCTGCAGGAGGGCTCCCGCTGGCTGCCCCCCAGGCGTGACCCTCAACAGGACAGACCCAGGGCACCTTCGGTGTTGCTTCTGAATCACAGAGAAGCGTCTCCACAGACACCTTGCGAATCCTGAGGTAGAACTGGGCCGGGGTCTACTGCTCACCTTCTCATTTCCGGGGCTCATCGGGACAGAAGCCTCAAACATGCCCCTGCCTTCCGACTCAACACACCTCGTCCAGGAGAAAGCCACGGCCGAAGCCCCAAAGCAGAGACAGCACAGAGGAGCAGCAGGGTGGCCTTCCTCGGAGGCCGAGGACTCACCTGTGCCGTGGCTGTGTGCTCGCTCACGGGCGCCAGCTGGACATACTGCACCTGGATGTCACTGCCCTGGAGAGGTGACCCGTCCACGCCAGCCGAGGCAGGGTCTGAAGAGGCCACGGCGATGAGCTGGGCTCCCTGCAGCACCTGGAGGGACACAACCAGGCTGCTCAGCACGGCACGGCCCGCCCACAGGGGCAGCAGATGCTATGCCCCCAGGCAGCCCTAAGATGGGCCTGTGTGAGACAGGAAAACATTTCAGTTGGTCTATATTTCAGAACCGCTCTAGTAAGCCCATTCCATAGCAGCAGCTGGGTCCTTGTGGACAGGAACACACAGGCTGTAAGAGGACGCACACCAGAGCTAAGGTACTGGGGTTAGACATAACTGCTAAACAGGGTTTCCTGAATTACGGTCCCGAGATGTCAAAAGGCCATAAATAACCACACAAAGAAATGCAGGAGGAGGGAGGGCAAAGGGAAACGGTGGACGGAAGGAACAGGTGCTGGCCACGGCAGGCTGCTCAGGGCCCCGATCCCCGGCCAGCTTCTGGACTCCAGAGTGCCTGTCTGTGTGTGAGCGCCACTCTTGAAAGAGTGTGGGCTAAGGTGGCCTGGCCTCTGCTGCCTCTGGAGTCCAAGTCTGGAGTCTGGACAAGTCAATTCAGTGCTCCCGTCTGGCCCGCACTGAGGACTCTGGGCTCCGTGCATCCCACTGCCCAGGTCAGAGCGACCTCTGCTTCGGTGTGAGTGCAAGTGTGTCCGCCTGTGACACCCACATGCCAGGCAGAGGCGTTAAGCAGAGCTTCTGGGGTCTAAGCCAAAGCTCTCTCCTCATGAGGACCAGGGAAGACTCCATGTCTTCAGCTCAGGCAAGTTACAGAAACAAGACCGAAACGGCCGCGTGAGCTCAGAAACAAGCCCTGGAGTCCTCACGTGGCAGCAGGCAGCAGGCAGCAGGAAGAGCTCTGATGGAGGACAGGGTGGAGAAGGACCACTTGGGGTGGGCAGCTGGAGAACGGCACACAAGTGTGGCTCGACGCCATGACAGGCGGCACAGAGCTGTACCCAGAAGAGGTCCTCGTGCAGCCCGGGCCCTCGACCCTCCCTCTCCAACGCTGAGCAGAACAGGCGCACACCTCTCTAACTGGCTTCCAGGCAAGCGCACAGCCAACAAGAACATGTGCTTGGCCCCTCCACCCAAAAACGTGGGGCACCCCACCCACAGCTCTGCCACCAAGGGCCAGCGTCCATGGCCACGCAACGGCCCCCTCAACGGGCGCTGTCCTGACGCCAGGGCTCGGCCCTTGCCGGGGAGCAACTGAAACAAGTCCACTTGGGGTCTGAATGACATTCTTCAAGAATTCATCAATGGAAACTTCTAGTTCCCTCCTTCCACCCTGACTTACGGGGTAGTTTTATTATTTCTGCCTGAGAACTATACTTTTCCAGAATTGTGGTTTCATTTTATTTTAGCCAAGCAGCTCAGTTTAAAACAAAACTGAGACTGAAGGGAAAAGCCCTGCTGTGGAAGCGGGCCTTGGCATCCGGTGGGTGGTGGCTGGACTCTTGTGGGATGGGGCTTCTGCCTCTCCTGAGGGCTGGCAGCCTTCGGTAGCGCTGCGGGCCCAGGGTCGCAAGGCGGCTCCATCTGCAACCGGCTCAAGTCAAGGGAGGGAGGGAGGGAACGATGTGGAGAGCTGGAGCTTTATTCATAGCAGAAGGACTGCCCACCGCTAACGCCACAGCAGAAGGACTGCCCACTGCTAACATCAGCCTCAGATGCTAGAAATGTTCCCTAAACACTTACTTCCCATTAATAAACTTATTAGGCAGCTCTGGGATTCACAAATTTTATCTCAAATTCTTAGAGCTCCCTGTGTCCCCTGTCAGGATCCCCTGACCTGGGGAGCGTTTCCTAAGCACATTTTCTCATCCCAGCCAGATGTTTGCCGGAATGTCTCAGGAATGTCAGGCCAACGTCAGCCCCTCAGGGACTCGAAGGGAAAAGCCCTGGCCCCTCTCCCATGGGGCTCTGGGGCCAGCAGAAGCCGCAGGCGCTTTGTGCAGGCCTGAGCTGGGTGGTGGCCCTGGAAGGATGGGGCCCACAGGGAGGGGACACACAGGCCCTGCCAAGGGGGAAGGGCGTGAGGGGTGGTGCACTTCACTGTTCCTTGGGCCACACGAGAGGTGGGGTAGGGCTCCCTGGGGACACTGCCTCAGGATCCAGGAGACTCCAGAGTGGCTGGTAGAGTCACTTGGACCTGCAGAGAGGGGTCCAGGAGCCAGGGCTGGCCAGATACATGGTGGCCGCAGGCAGCTCTGTGAGAGGGAAGGAGGGACAGTCTTGAGGGTGGGGGGCGGCACGGTGGCAGCTGCTGAGACAGGCAGCCCTGAGGGAAAGGGGTGGATCCTGTGGGACCCACACCCAGCCAATTCCTCCACACCAGCAAGGCCTGGCTCCTCCATGCTCCACACGACCTACCCTGCACCCGCTTCCCTGTTGCATGGCTGGGCTGGCGAACACAGAAAAGAACCCTGATGCTGCTAACAGTCTCTGTGACCAAGCAACCCAAATTCCCAAAAGGGCCACAGAAAGGTCTTTTCAGACTAAGAGATGTCACTGTGTACACACTCTGACCCAAATGCCACCGTCTCTCGAAGCCAGCCAGTCACTCTTAGCCAGTGAGAACAAGGCTTGCATGCTTTGTAAACCTCAAAGCACTGCCAGAGAGCATGCACGAGCGCCATCACACACGCTCCCTGCAGTTTACTGCAAGACAACAGAGGGCGGCTGGCGGCAGGAATGGAACCCGAGCTAAATCTGAACTCTTAAGTGGGTGTTAGCTTCATCCCTGAATTTTAATCTAGCCAACTAAATCATCCTAAACCACTGCACCTCAATTCTCTAAAGATCAAACTTGGAACCCATCGCTGCTGGCCACAGGAGGCAGGGAAGGATGCTCTGACCACTGCCCTGGCAGTCCCCACAGACCCCTGCTCTCCAGAAGCGAGCCCAGCCAAGAGTCAGGACCCACTGTGCACAGGACACCGAGGGGCCTGCGTCCAGAGCCCCGTGGCCAAGTGGGCTGTGCTCTAGGGCCATCAAGTTTCCGTTGGCTGGGGGACGCAGGTTGGGCCTGTGGGTGAGGTGGGCTGCAGGGCTGGGTGGAGAAAGCAGAGGCCTAAGACAGGGTGGGCGGGGAAGACGTCAGGGAGAAGAGAGGAGCTCAGCACCGTGCAGCTTCTAAAGGACGTGAAAGGACAGCAAGGGGCTGACGGCTCGAGTTAATCCTGGCTGGCACTCTGACCGGGTTGGAAACTGGTTAGAAAGGAAAAGCTCTTCCAGATGGGCACGGAAGCTGTGGAAAGGGAGGTCAGAAAGCCAGCATGGCTAAACGTTGGGCTCTCAGCCTCTTTCAGGGGAGGCACAGGCAGGGCACAGCGGCTGATTCCTCCCTGCGCCGTACGGGACGGGCACAAAGGCTGCTCCCCACGTAGGAAGGTGTCCACAGGCTGCAGAGCAGCTCAGCTCAGGCCACAGTTCTAACGCCTCTTCTGGCGCCTGCTGCCCTGCAGGACTGCGACACTCACCACGCCACTGTGCTGTCTAAGAGAACTACCGAGGATTCTATATGGCAATCCTAATGCTCCCTCCCCCAAATCTGCGCAAACCGTGGCTTCCATTCTGTGATATCTGAGTGTGTGGCTCTGCCCCTGGCACCCCAGAGACTTTGCAATCCTAGTGCAGGAGAGGGATTGCCTCAGAGGCAGGGAGCCTCACACTCCTAGCCCCTAGCTCAAGACAGGTCATGCCCACACAGCCGCCGAGGGGGCAGGGCAGCCTGCATGGCCATGTGGCATTTGCACCAAACTCGGGATTCAGCTGCCAACCCCCATGCCAGGGGGTTGCCAGGCCGCGTCTCCCTGGTGGGCGGTGACCCCTCCGGCAAGCACATGACCACCACTCACATCTCTCCCAGACACACACCAGGGTCAGGCCCTCTGAGATGTGTGGCTGGGCCAGGAGCCACAGCTTTCTTCTGTTCTTCTGCCACCTGCATGGCTGCTCGGAACGTGGCCGCCTCCCCACCCTGTCCTGCTCCTGTGCTGCCCACCTACCCCACGTTGCCCACACTCCACAGGCCACAAACTGACCCCACCTGCCTCGACTGCATCACAGGAAGGAGCTTCCTGGCATGCTGGTAGGAGGGTGGTCTGTGCAGCCCAGCACACTGCCTTGTCTCCCCCAGACTTGCAGTGGCCACCCCAAGGGGCAGGGGAGGGAGGCAGCCAGGCTTCACATGCGGAAAGCCCAGAGCCTCGGTGCTGAGACCACTGCAAGCCTCTGGACCCCAAGCCCGTCACACAGCTGTCTTGCTGCTTATTCCCCACATGTGCCTACACACACAGCTCTCACACACGTGCACCCTGCCGAACACAAGGGCACATGCACTCACGTGCGCACAACTCTGCGGGCCCCCTGAACCCCTCCTGCACCCCTCCTCCAGTGCCTCTGGCCCCGCAGGTGTCTCTGGTGGCGGCTGTGTGCTGCTGCTATGGGGCTGAGCCCGGAGCATGTGCTGTTCTTCAATCACCTCTGTAGTGTGCAGGCCCTGCCCCTCTTCACTCAGGGCACACAGTCCCTGGAGACTCCAGCAGGCTGCTGCACATGGGTCACTCACTGCTAGTGGGCAGCATCAGGGAGTCTGCTCTCTGGGGCCACTGAGGCACAGGTGACGGTGGAGTGCGCTCCCGGCTAGGAGACATCAGTGTGGAGGGGAGGCTACGGACCCAGCAGACTTCAGAGCACTGACAGTGACACTTGGGTGGAGGAGGCAGGGAGAAAGGACACACGGAAATGCTTGCATCAGCCCTTGTGGCTGCCTTGCTAAGCCCTGGACCCACTTAAAAAACTCATGCCACCTTTTGAAATTCTAGGTTACAATGAAGCCACAGTTCTGTAAGCACTTCACATTCTCTTGAAATGTGAAGTAACTATTTTTCATGAAACTGTGGGGACCATGGCGTCTTTCGGGGAAGGTGCCGCCTGTGCTCTGGTTCTGGCGAGAAGCCACCTAGCCACAGGCAGGGAGCTTCGTGCACTGCCATAAGTGGCTTCCACGGGGCCTACGCATTGGGTAAAGT